GGCAAAGAGGGAGCTCCCAAGGGAAGCAGCTCCAGCAACTCCAGCTCCCAAAGGAAGCAGCTCCAGCAACCCTGAACACCAGCAGAGGAAGAGGAAGAACAACACTGTTTAGAAGTCTCTACTGAGATTAGACATTATAATGCTGTTCCTTCCCTCAAAATTGATAAAATTTGGAAAGAGGATCAGCGACTACAAAGCAGAACAACCATCACTATTTTGTGGGGAAACTCATCAGGTTTCTGAAACAGTTATTTGAAACTTTTGTGCAGTTTCAAGATGTAAAGAGGATAAACTAAATCCTTCTTCTGAAAAGAATCCCAAAGAAAATCAGTAACTTCCACACAAAATCATCATCTCCAGCATCACACTTTGGGACCCCCCCAAAAAATATCTTTCAAACTGGTGCCCTTTCTGCCTAGAAAAGTGGGAACTTAGATGCAAAGTCACCACTGCAATGGCAGCAAGTATGTGGATGGATATAAGAGGGAAAAAAAAAACACACACACACTTTTTTTTTTGTATATTGGAAAATATAAATATTGAGCATCCCTACCTGACTGTTCCCCCACAAGCCTACTGCCTGGTTTTCCTCTCCCTGGGATGCCTCACTTGCACAGTCAGATGCTGATGATTCAGGTTTTCAGCTCAGTACTAGCAATACTGGCATCTTCTCCTCTCTCAACTTTCAGGCAGGGCAAACCAAACTGTTTTTTTCTTATGTTCAGCTGCTTTTCTAGGCATCAACTTGCTCTGCAGCCCTATGAGACCACAGAGAAAGCAGAAAGCTGCTGGAAAGCAGGAGACACCTGAGCTCTGCAGCTGGAAAACTGTGGATGTAGAGGGAGTGTGCAAAGGCTTGGAAACAAGTCATAAAGGCAAAACATCAGAAGATGCAAAAGGGTTAAGAATAGTGAAATAGTGAAACATACTGAAACAGGAAGCAGTTAGCTGGGTAAATGGAACACAGAAGGACAGAGAAGATGGAGAGGTAGTGGAAAGCTAGACAAGATCTGCACTCAGAGTCAATCCCTAAATTCTGCCTTCTGAAACCTATCTGCGAATGACCCTTCATCTTCGGCATCCCTTGTGATCTACACTCCCTGCAAGGGGACCATGTGTTTACTTGCCTCTTGGGCTGCACCAGCCTGTGCAGAGTGCAGCCCAGCCACACCGCTGGCCTCGCATCTTCCCATGTGTCCGGCTCCCGCTGGCATCACGAGGACTAAGCTGAAGGCAAGAGGAGGAACTGCCAGCAAGCTCAAACCAAGCGCGCATGCGTGCATTTATACCCTTTTCTACGGACGAGGAGCACATGACTGACTGCAGCAATGCACTTCAGTTCTCACAACAAGCAAATTCATGAA